GATGGAATTTAGTCCCAGATAAGCATTTTAAAAGTCTATCTTAATTATGCACTCCTATATGTGTCTTTTTGGCTGGAATTACAGAACATGCAAGCCATAGTTTATTTTAGTTATGAATAAAACTGGGAGATTGATTAATCTGCTAAGATACAAACCATGATTTATATACTATAAGTGTCTAGGTTCACAATATTACTTTAACAGAAAACTAAACAAACTTCTTTAAAAAGCCCATGAGCCCAGCCATTTGTTTTTCTATTGAATTTATTCCCTAATAATAGTTTCCAGAGACATAGCCACACTAGTCTTTGGCAACAAAACAACCTTATATTGTCTTGGATCACTTTACCACAAACAGATTGTCCCATAAACTTATCTACATCACAGCATACTTGGTTAAGAACAGTGAACTGTGATCTTCAAAATATGATCATAAATTCATTCTCCTTAAGGTACCATAAGATTCCTTGTTCTTTTATTCTAATCCCAATTGTGTGCATAGGTATGAAGATCTGCTAATTAAATTGATCCATTTTAATTGGTAAGGAAGCAAAATAAGCTTTATTAATATTCCTAGTGGTTGCTGTACTGAGCAATGAAGACTAAATATGGACTTTTCTTCTAACAGCAAAGAAGCACAATTTTGTTTATTCTACTAAAAATGCATTCCTTTTTTTTTTTACAAAAGCATAGCATTTGTACTTTCCCCCTCCCCTTTAATTTCTCAATAATCTTATGAGATTAGACCTGCTGAGAGTTAGCAACAAATCTGAGGTCAAACAATCAGTTGGAAACATCTTATTACCAATTTTACTCAAGAGATTTGGTTGCCACCCCATACCCATAATTTTCTATTTTTCACAGAGGTCAAAACCACATTTTAAAGTTTCCTTATCATCAGAGGATTTTTTTTTCTTTGTAAATGCTTTAAAATATGCCTATTTCAAATTATTTTAATGGAATAATCAATGACAAAGCATATGATTAACAATAACAAAGCAACCTCTTCCTTGAGTTCAGCTGGCCATGCCCCATGAAAGCATGCTCAGGGTTGCAGTCAAATCAATTTTTGTAATTGGTTGGGCTTCAACCAATTTTCTCATTGTTAAAGGCTACTGTATGGCATTTTAAAGAGACTTGTTGGTTTCACCCAAACAGGACAGAATGGTGACTTTTTAAAGCTGGACACCCAGCTTGAAAATTGCTTGAAAAACAATTGTTGAAACCAAACAGCAACTACCAAAATTGTACTGCTTTCTTAAGAATGTAGATTTCATCAATATTTTACTAGCAACATTTGTTTGTTGCTGTTGTTGTTTCATTTGTGAGACACAACTGAACGAAAAGACAAATAAGTGTTCTTCCAATTCAGGAATCGGCAACTTGAAATGTATATTTAGTTGCACATTCATCAGATTACTTGCCTCATTTTATTAGTACTTTAACATTTTTAAGAATTACTTGGGAGAAAGACTATCTACTTATCTTATTGTTGTATAATTCATGGGGGAAAAATACTTCTTGTAAAGTAAAAACTTTAAACTTAATATTGTAGATACTACAAAGGAGAAACATCTAGTAGCTTGTGTATTTACAAAATACTTCTCGTCCTACAGAGGCTGCACAGGCCTCCATAAGGAATCAGTATTGTGGTGGCTGCCTACAACTGATTGTTTGGTTTGGAAGTGGGCCACCTATAAAGGAAAGCTGGGGATTGTTAGGAGTATCCTGGGGGCTACTCAGAACAACTAAACAATTTTATTACTGTATAGCACAACCTCCATTCAACAGATTTCAGTTGCAGTGGACAAAATTATTCTTCAGATTATACCTCAAAGTCCTTTGTTTTTGAAGCAGGCCAGATGGTTACTACTATTGACCTCATTTGTGTAATTACATTGTTGATACTTTATTGCATAATTCACTTACATAATTGAGGTCATTTTTGTCAACTTGTAAATGGGTTTTATGACGCTTACAGAAATTTGGATTTGACATTTGGCTTTAATGAACACTCCTCCCATCAAATGATCTATTAAATAAAGATTTTATTGTCCTTTTAGTAGTTTTTTTTTAAAAACTTTGTAAAGCTGCTGTTTTGTGAATGGGCAACCCCTCATGGAAGCCATGTTTCATACTCTCGAACGTGAGATATCCACCAGTCTCTTTCCACCATGTAATTTGTCCTACGCTCTTCCACCACTTATCTTTTCACACACAAAAAAGAAGGTAGGAAATATGGAAGACTTTCTGAAAATTACAGGAGCCATTTCATTTGAGTAGAAGTACCCACAAACTTTCAAATGGCATAATCTCTCAGGGAATATTATGCACATAACTTAAATAAGTGATATTGGGCCAAATGCATGACTAGCCGGTTTGGAAATGGCTCGTGTTTAATTCAGCTATAGGCTTGTCTGCTTTTTTGCTTAAATGAATTATTGCAATATTACTGGTTCTAACTTGCAATATAGTCTTATTGAATTGAGAAGGGTGTTTCCTCCAGACAACAAGCATTAACCATGAGCCATTTCTAAATAAGCTGGTTATATAGTGGGCTCAGAATCTCTTTTTCAGATTATGTGCATAATGCATAAAGAAAACTGTTCCTGGTTCAAATAGCCAAGCAATCTAAATACACTTCCAGACAGATGACTCCTAGTGAGCAACCCCCTTTTATTTTTCTCTGCACATCCCATTTCCTCATGCTTACTTAGGGCAGAAGAAGCGTCACCTAGTTTCTAAATAAATGTCAGTCAGTTTTGGTCCCAGATCCTATGACTCTTTCCTGCTTCATGATTGACTACATGGAAAACAATCTGAGATCTCAAGGCTACCTGAACTTTATAAAGCTTTGGGTGTGTCCCCACCTCCCTAAGTTCTCTATAAATAACTTCTATACAGTATTTTGGTATGGCTCAATGGTATTGTCTAGAATGTTTGGAAAGATGGCACTGTGGTGATTTTCTTCTCTTTTGCAACACACACACACACACAATTAACTGGGGTTAGTTCTCTACAAAAAAAGAGGAGCAAAGACAAGAGTCTTGACTAACAACTTCCAGGCAGATAGTTAAGATGCTGTTTCCTAAGGGGTCCCAAGGGGTCTCCAACCTTGGCAAGCTTTTCTGGCTGAGGAATTCTGGGAGTTGAAGTCCACAAGTCTTAAAGTTGCCAAGGTTGGAGACCCCTGTCCTACATCATCTTAAACATCTACCAGTAAAATATGTCATTCCAGCTCCCACTGCAGTCTGAAACACTTTATAACAGCATTTGGTGAATTATAATTTTTAATGCAACAGAAAAGAATAAAAATTTTATCTAGATATATTAACTAGCTAATTAATTGTATTAGTTTTACATTATATTTAAATTATATTAAATGAAGCAGACCCAACCTATTGTTATGCAGGTCTACCCACTTATGTACTATGGCCTTCCCATTCACTCTAAGGTGAAGTGTGGCTTTCAACTAAAAGACAATAATAGTTGGCTATTCCTTCATTACACCCATGCTTGTCCTTTTCTGTTCCATGAAGCTGTTTTTTCTCCCCTTATTTTTTGGTCAATTGCTAGATCTGATCTTAAAGAATTATTGCTTCATGAAATGGCTGGCTTTTGCTGTGTCCTAGACTAGAGCACCTCCACTTAAGGCATTTATACCACTCAGGGATAGACAGCATGCCCTGTGATTTCACAATATTGGTCCTCTTCAGCAGCTGATTTTATTTCATTCCAGTTCAACTGCAGTGCAACCAATGAGTCCAGATTTTTTTTCATTTGGAACACTGATACTCGGCAAAGCTTGAGGAGGAAAACAATGAGCCCTTGAACTCTCCTTCACCTCCCCCTACCACATACACACTCAACAAATAAATTTAAGCCCAGGTGGCATCTACCATTTCAACATTCATAGTTCTTTTAAATTTGGGGAAGAGGGATAGCGTTATGGCAGATAGTATTAAGCAATCCCAACTGAAGTGATTTCCCCCTCTCAGTGATTTTTACAAAGCACCAAAGAAGCAAATACAGCATGTGAGAAAAACTGCTGGTCAGGAGGAAACAGTTCATGTGATATACTTAGTGTTTCAATGTTCACTGCAGTGAGGATTTACAATCTGAGTCTGTTTGAAGGTATTTCTGCAGATTTTAAGGATAGAAATGGTGTTCAAACAGAAGGGACCAAAACAGCCAGAATTTTAGGCAGATGTTTTCCAGGAGGACTATGCAATATTAGTTAAAGGATGAAGCTGAACAGGTATTTCTTCAAGAGTTCTCTTAAGGTGGATAGAAATTCTGTAGACCAGCATTTCCTAAACTGATAGCTTCTGGATTTGTTGGAATGCAACTCTCAAAATTTATCTCCAGATTCTGAAAGTTTATTGAAATTACTAAATCATAACTTCCAGGATCCCTAGCCAGTACTGAAGAATGCCTGAAATATGCAACAGAGAATTTTCTCCTCTTTTAAGGGCAGCAAATTTATAGGTGAAAGTCTGCCTGCAGAAATTATAAATAACTTTTAATGAATTCTGTTTATGTTCTATATAAAATCTTTTTATTACAATACTCATTCCACGTGTAGCGCTGTCACGATGGCGGCTTGGACTACTCAGGCTGCAATGGATGAAATTTGCCAGGCAGCAACCTAGTCCACCCCTTTGCCCTCATCTTGACTCTTTTGCATCAGCTGATGCAGCTTTTGGACGAAGGGTCTTGAAGAGGGTCCTATCAGAAGAGCATCCTCAATAATGGCTTGAATCCCACCCATAGGACATTTGCTTTGGTATGTCCCATGCCTGGATCCTGTCGAAACCATTCTAGAGAAGGGGCGTTGGTCTTACCTGAGACGCACCTTCTCAGATGGTGTAGACAGGATCCAGTTCCACCCATTTTTATTTCTGGCCTTCCGGATCAGGTGTGTGGGTGAGGAGTGATTGTCTTTGTTTTTTACCTGAGGATGAGTCTTCTCACAGTAACTAGAAGAAGCCCCCGACTTCATCGAACAACTGGGGACAGTGGCCCAAAGGGGGCGTGTCTTCAGTTTTTTCTATTCAGTCTACAGCCAAGTACAGCTGAATATATCCCATTTACAGAAGGCCCTTGCTGCCACCTGTCTTCATAGGGTTGCGGGAACAAGGCCTCTGTCGAGTCCATCCTGTAAAAAATCTAACACATGAGTGTTGGAAGCTTTAGTGGGATCAACATTTTCCCTGTCTGAAATAACTGAAGTTTATTCTAAAATTCACACTATAGCAATGTCCTTATTAAGGACTACTGGAGGATTATAAAATAGTAGAAAGCTTTAGAATTCTCACAAACTCTTATTCAGGTATACCTCTGCCTTAAAGTATTCTCTATTTGCTGTCCAAGTACTAGTATTGTAAAATAAAAAAAAGACCATATTCTCATGTTCTAAAAGAGATATAGCATAAATTTATCTCTAGAGGTGGGGCAACACAAAACACTTTCTCTCTTTATAAGAAACAGAAATCTTGAACGAGTTCTCTCCCCTTCCCGCTCATCAGACATTAAAATACTTGTGAGCAGACAAGATTAAAAATGCTTTGACGGCAAGATGCTTTGGTTAGGACGTCAGCAGAAAAAAATGCTGATGTAAGTTCAAATTAATCCTGATCAGTTTTGAAATGATATGTAAAAGAGATATATCTGAAATAAAAACTTTAATCCTATTTAGCAAATGTACTTTATCTCTTGATTTTGTTACCTCTGAATTGTATAAATAGCCTCTAGCTAATGCAAACTATTAAACTTATACTGGAAACTTAGTCCTGTCAAACAGGAAACTCTGTCTTAAGGTGGTTTCCCACATTTTGCATGTACATGCAGTATAAATGATGGGAACTAATATGTATAAGTGACAGAAGCAAATATTTTGAAATATGGTACACTAATTCAAAAGATCTGTACTTACTCTGGAGTTCCACCAACAGCCAGGATCAACGTCTTCAACCCTCCTAAGGTGGTACTTTTATGATCTCATCTGAAATCTTATAATTGATCTGGAGGTATATCAGTTTAAATCTCTAGTCAATCATAATGCTCCCCAAATGATATTAAATTAATCACTGCCTTGAAGCTTGCCCCATTGTTTCTTGTGTGTGCAAATAAGGATCAATTCTCCAAGTACTTTGTTGGAATGATGGAATGCAAGTATAAAAAAATAAGTAATACTAAAGAGAATTATAAACCAAGTAAATGGAAGAATGTTATACATCGACTTCACTGTTCAACTGGTAATATTGAGATCCATGTTATCTATGTATATCCCATAGGACTTATATGGTGTCAGGCTGAATGTTCATCTAATCTAATGTACAGAATCACAGAATGACTGGCCAAAGATTTGAAGGAAGCCCAAAAGTAAGGTATGAAGCCAAATATTGCAGTTCCCCATCCCTAAAGGGAGTTTTATTTATATTTCCTAAATTTACTCATATTCACCAACAGAGTTATTTTTCATGAATAAATCTATTTTCCTTTTAAAGCAATGAAGGCTAGTAGTTGTACTGCTGTAGTATATACCTTCCTTTTACATGTACAACCACAGTTTGCCAGGAAGACACTGAATAGAGACTTCCATTGATGGCAGCCATTGTTTGAAGCAACTTCCCTAAAGAGGTTTAACTTTTCATAACCTTTTTGTCTTTTCTTTACAATTTTTAACTAGGACATCTTCAACTGGCTATTGTTCTTCAACAAAACTTTCTCACTTTGTGCCATCAGATTGTGTTGAACTTCTCCTGCCACAAAAACCACAGGCAGTTTGACTATTGTCCCTATTTGGGGCTTATAAAAAATGAAATGCAACATAATCTGGAAAGTTGACCTAGTTAGTTTATTGCTATATGTATTTTCTCCTCTTTTGATATCAGGGTCTTATTTTCCACCTCCTATGTGGTCTCAACTCATTCCAAATAGAAACTCCAGAGCTTCTGGGCTTCAGCAAGGAGGTTACATCATTTTCACAGATCAAATCAAGCTTAATAAAGGTCATAGCTAGAGTACTAGTTTGCATTTATGGTTTTTGATGCAAATTTTGGCTGTCTCTAGTATAATCACTGACTGATATCAACTTGACATTTGTTTAATAATGATATCATTGTTTTAGCCTTAGTTTTTAGTTCAGTGGGAATATTATTTCTGGAGAGTCCATGATTTGGGACAGATTAAAATTGCATTTTTTTTTACAGAGCAGCTTTGAACAGAACTTTGATAAGTCATAGAAGATAAGCCTAAAATGGCTAATTGGCAGTTGAACAGTACAAATGAGCAACCTTTTTCAGAATAAGGGATGAACTTTGTAGGTATGCCTTGTCTGGCTATCATAAAGATCTTCATGATGTCATAAAGGAGAGGAGGGCACACTATTTGGCATGGCATTTTATTGGTAGCATAAGAACATCATACTCTTTAAAGGGTACATTGGGTACAGTGCCTTAAACACTTCTGATTACCCCCAAAATGGAAAAAGAAATCTATATATTTTTGCACCATCGCATCTAGGAATCTAAGAGCCAAAAATGGGTCCAGGAAACCTGCCAGTCTGCTACAGACTGAGCCATGATGATGCAGTGGTTAGAGTGAAGTACTGCAGACTACTTCTGCTGCCTCCCAGCTGCCTGCAATTTAGCAATTCACATCTCATCAGGCTCAAGGTTGACTCAGCCTTCCCTCCTTCCAAGGTGGATAAAATGAGGATCCAAATTATTGGGGACAATATGCTGAGTCTGTAAAAGTGCTTAGAGTGGGGCTGTAAAGCACTGTTAAGCAGTATGTAAGTCTAACTGCTATTGCCACAGACTGCACTTTATCCATTCTTGAGCTATTTCATAACCTCCAATATTGAAAGTCACTAGCTGCTATATTAACTGGTCCATCTTTTTACTTGGTTACCAGTTGCAGAGAAACAACTGGTAAGAGCTGACTGGATCTGTTTTGAGTTCAATTTAACTTTTTGATGAATAGTTGACTGAAATAAGCAAGATTGCAATTGCCTACTTATTCTTCTTACAGCCTTTTCAGAAGAGTGGAGTCGCATCCTGTGAAGAAACAAATTCTGAACTAAGATAGGTTTTAGATATAAATTCTGTTAATTTGACCTCACAGGTGTTTTCTTGTATTCTTATTCAAAAGTCCTGTTCCTACAACACAGTTAGTCAGAGTTCTTTGCAAATGGTTCTGGCTGCACTCAAATTACAAAAATTAGGTGAAAATTTACCATTTACATGTGCAACCCCTCCCCCTCAATTGTCTACATGAGCCTTACAAAGATCTTCAGGAGATTGTTGTAAGTCTTCATTACTTCAATAACTCCCTCCTATGGGCCTGAAGGGCAGCTGTAGACATGATTTGGACTCTGTAGCCAGTCAGTATTTGACAAGGAATTTTTAATGCAAAAGTGTAGCTTTGGGGCTGCTTTCTCTCTCATTCTTTTGCTTGGAAGATTAAATAGGAAAATGAGGCAATTGAATTGATTGAGTTTGGGGTTGTCACCAGCATAACTGACTGGACCTGTTTTGAGTTCAGTTTAACTTTTTAATAAATAGTTGACTGAATTAGCTGATGCTTTTCTATGTTCCCATAGCACAGTGGGAATGTACCTATTTTCCTAGTTTGTGGGAAACAGACCAAACAAGCCAGAGACAACACTAGTATTCCCTTTCTTTTAGTGCTTTAACAACAGTCAGACCCAGACCTGAACCCCATGTGTTGCCAATTCGTAACAGCCTTCTTAGTGTTTGGTGCAGTGCATTATGAAAATCTAACCATTGAGATTGGTTAAATTGTGATTTATGAATTGCATTTAGAATGTAATGCAAACCCAGCCAATTGGAATTCAATAAACCACATTTAGGCAAACTAAGAATTATGTGTTGTACATATCAAGTTACACATAATCTAAATGCACAATTCTTTTATATAAAAGAAAGCTTTGTTTGCTTATATGGAGAGTCATTTTGTTTACTTACATGGAGAGTTTATAAATGGCTTGTGGCCTTCTCAGAGGCATCTGGTCAGTCATTGTGGGGACAGAAAGATAGACCAGATAAACCTTAGGGCTAATTATATATTTTTATACAATTGCATGATTGCATATTTCTTGAAATTTTTTAAATGTTACATATGCATGAAATGGGGAAACAACAATTTTTGTGAGTCAGAGGAATGGAAATGTATATTTGATCCTATCAATAACCTGAGGTCAGATTTTTTTCATGAGCCAAGAAGTTAGTTCACAAACTTCCTTTGAATACAGAACACCAGAAATCTTGAATTAATAAAGAAAAGAGTGACTCTTGAAGCAGTAAAGCGATTGAGTCTTACTGATGTCAGCAAGAGTTAAGTATCTAATTTTCTCCCAGTGTCCCTAAAATGCATGTCCAAAAATTCATATTCCACATTTTTCTTTACACATCTGATACCTATAAACTACATTTTTTTAAAACAAATTAACACAATTTTCAGTGATTTAACTAAATCTGACAGATTCAGTTTCAAAGGAATGGCTATGTTCCAAAAATGCATTGAATTAAACCGTTTTGTGATTCTCTGTCTCTCTCTTTAAAAACTGATAAAATTTTCATCTTCTTTCTGATTAAACATCACATCAGTTATTGGAAACAGTTAAGCTAACAATGAAATCTGTGGCTCAAGATTTTCCTCTGTTAAATACCAACCATTGAGAACAATATAGATGATAGAAATACGGAAAATAAAATAAACTATAAATACTTTACAATATCTGTTTTGTTTTTGACTAGTTCAGCACTATCACCTGGGCGTATTAGAAAGACATTTGACTCTATGAGATTAAAGCATAAGGAAAAAGTTATTTCCTACACATAAACTGGAATGCTGTATTTCTGAGCCAACAGTAACAGGGAAATTTAGCAATCTTTTTCCAGAGAAACTGCAATCTTCATAAGTGGAAGCCACATATTAGAAAACTCCTTCCAACGTGCAAGTCAGGATTTTAAAAATTCAATTCTCTTCAGGGCAATAATTATACATACAGTACATAAGGAAAGTAAGTGTTTAGGTTGATGTATCACACTATACTATAAAGTGATTTTTTTCTACTTGTTTGTGTCAAGCCAGACAGAATGGATTTATGGCTAAACATGATGAACCAAGCCAACTGCAGCTTAGTCAACAAACCATGCTTTAGTGTTACCAAGACTCAATGTGAAGTATAAATCCTATATCACACACACAAATACAGGCTAAATTCACCTTCACACCAACTCATAACATAACGTGTCTGAGTTTGACTTGGCAAGATAATCAAGATAGGTTTCAGTTATATTTTCCCTTCTTATCTGATGCCCTTATTTTCTACCTGTAGTTATTCCAAATTGACAAGGTTTATTTATTAGGTGCTGCTTTTAATCTTGCCTTGGACCAGGTATAATTCTTTAACTTTTCTGCCAATCTTTCCATTTACAAACTCTCTGCCTTTCTTTCTTTCTTTCTTTCTTTCCTCACCTCATGAAGGAACTTTAAATGGTTTGCCAACACCATTATGCAGAAGCTTTTTCTGGCACTGGGAGTCAATGGCTATTTCTTTCCAGTCAGTTGCAACAACTGTTCACGGATGACAGGAATGACATGATCATTCTCTTCCATATGGGATTTTGTCCCTCTCATGCTAATGTACTTGCACATAACTTTAAAAATATCATTTTTAAAACTGCACAATGCATTCTTGCCAAAATATATTACATTGTCAGTTTGAAAACTATATCTCTTTGAATCGGCACAGCATTACCCATCTGCAATACTAAAATTACAAATATTTTAATGGTGTTTGAGTATGAGAAGGTGGTTTCTTCAACTATAAAACCTTTACCCAGCACAGGAAAGCCTTCATCTGTTTGATTCCTACCTGGAAAGTCTCTTTTAAAGGTCTAAGGAGAAGACACTTTTGCAAACTACCTACATCTTTGACAAGTTTGTTGTCAAACTGTGTACTCCTTGAACACTTCAACTGAACCTGCTTGCTTCTATCATCTATTCTGGCTTTTTCTTCTTCTCCCCTGCCTTCTTTTAACAACAGTGGAGTGTAAAGACCATCTTTTAAAAAAGAGTATCATTTTGTTCCAATATGTTTACTGACAGGCCACGAAGACGCCCCAACAAGACATTCAAATATGTGTAGCAATGCTATTTGATTCCAACCCTAACTGACAGCATACCCTTTCTGTGGGAAAGGCCCAAATCTACACAAACAGAGACAAACAAAGCTAGGATAAAGCAGACCGGGGCTTGGAAAACACTCTAGGCCAGTATTGTGTGGTTTCTAGGTTTCCCACAGCGACAGAGCATCTGGGCAACGTTAACCATGGCATTCTGTAAACACAGGCTAGAGGAGATAATAGTCCATAACATGAGGGAACAAAGCAGCCTGCATAAATTGGTTTCCTCTGTTTCTGTCGTAATCAGATTGATTGGCCAATTGTAAATGCCTATAGAAGGAAACCCTGGAAGTTGTTTAACACACGTTCACAGAACAAGGATCAAAAGATAAGAGCCCAGAATAATCTGCGACAGTTTGAAGGCCAACTATAACACTGGAGAGGAATGAAGCATGTCAAATAATATGTTTATTGGATCTGCTAATGTTGAAAATGGTGGAAGCAAGATTTATAGTTGCCTTCTCTAAAAAAAAGATAGGCAGAGCATATTATTTGCATAGAAAAAGAAACAATATCTAGCAAATCCACTCTATTTTAAAATTCTATCACAAACAAACAAGATTTACAAAGTATTGGAGTTCATATCTTCTCAAATGATCTTTATTCCTTTCATATCTCATAAAACTTACTGTGGCCTCTTCTTATGTCTGCTAAGGGACTCTGGATCATCAGACTCAGACAAAATTGTACTGATGACTCTCACAAAAATTGTGAAGGTACAATAGTCAACATGATGAATATCAGTTCACAGCCTTATGTGCTTGGTATGTTATTTATTTATTTTTATTTTTTATTTATTTTGATTTGTCAATCGCTTACAAGATAATAGGTTATGAGCCCCTACTAATACCAATCAAAACAGTATATGTAGCAGTTCTGTTTTCCCTATCTTAACAGATTTTCTCTAATAATTTGAGGGAAAATCTGGAAAGATTTCCAATTAAAAATAATTATGCCTGTCCCCTCTGTAAAATTCTATGGTAAGGGTATGGATGTTCTAGGTTGCCTCAAGCTACTGAATTATACCATCTTGCAGAACCAAGGAAATATATCTTCCCTTAGATTTGGAGGATCCCAACTCTCTTGGCCTTCCAGAAAGATGGCTGTTCCTCCAGAAATTAGGGCTAGGAGGTTAAAAAAAAACCCATATTTATGTTTATTTTGTGAAATTGTTATATAATACCTTTTCTTTTATATTATTTCTAACTTTATTTGGTTATGGGGTAATATTTTAAAATATTGTTTTTATAAACTAGTTGTTAGCTACTGAAATTACAAATCTAACATTGGTAGCCATATAAATTTTCTAAATACATAAAAGAAACTATAAACAACAGTGTAATTTGAAAGCGTCCTAAGTGCCAATGGGATATTTTTTAATAAAGACAACTGCATCTTTCCATTTCAGTTTCTTAACTACTGATAGATCTTCTAGGTTTATATACTATGTTAAACCATGGCAACATTTGAGGAAAAGTATGGTGTTTACAAACTGCTAAAGAAGATTCCACAAGGGATGATGGCTGAAGTGTTGGTGTATGAACTGTGAAAACACTGGTTCAAATCCATCTTCAACTCATTGACTGATGTTGATCCAATCTCACTCAGTGTAATATATAGCTTTGTTGTCTTTGTTTCTTTAGGATAAAATGATGGCAGTAATCCACCTTGAACTCTTGGAGAAAAGGCAGGATAAGTCAACACACACACACACCAAAACCATTATGATTTGATG